AGGAGATGAAAACGAGAAAATTTTGCTCCATCAATCTTTGAGAAATGATTATGGCTAGCTTTATAATTACTCAACTTAAAAAAAAAAAAAAAACCCCTAAGTACAGGATTGCAAATTTTAATCAAGCAAAAGGCGCCAGTTTGATACGTCATTTTGCTCTTATTTCTACTCGGTGCGATAGGTACTCTAAAAAAATATTGCCAGTGTCTTAATTTTGAGTTTTTCAGCATTAACTGTTTTTCTCTGGAATGGCATCCAATACTCATATAAATCCACACGAGTTATTCAAAAACGAGTGGAGAGATTCTGTTGACGAAACCAGGATTTTCATCCGCATTGGTAGAGATTCAACTGATACCATAAGTATGTCCTACTTGTTCTGAATCGTTATTTTCAACAGGGTCCTCAGCGCTCTGGTGTAACTGAATCAATTTTGAGTTTTTGGCCCAAGGTTTTCCTCTCAAGACCGTATATAAACTTTGAGAATTTCTCTCTATAGAGAGAGCCAAATATCAATGGCCAAAGTGCAGAACCATGTACGAGTAGCTTCGTTTGCGACGATGCAGACTTCTTATCAAACGTTATTTCCTCTTCGAAAAGCTAGCCAACTTAATTTCCTCAAAATTTCCTTGGTTTTGCTTCATTGTTATCGGAAAAGTTTGTATAAATTTTATGTTTTAAAGTTAGCAGGCTCCTTGAAAAAATAAGTAAAAAATAGGAACGGAAGTTTAGAAATATCGCTATGGAAAAACGTGATTCCTGACCATCGCTGAAAAGTTCCTTAGGAAAAAAGCAATTTCCGCGATAATGAGTGTTTCCGCGAAACACCTGTGAGCTGTGCGGCCCAGCTGAGGTGAGCTGAGGGGCCTGGAGGACATGGCGCATAAGTACAATTTTTGCTACTTCGGGAAATACCTACGTCCTACGAGTTTGAAGTTTCGAAATTACATGATGATGGATCCTTATGAAGGAAAGAAAGTTCAAACTGACTTTTTGATTATTAAAAATTGGAATTTGGGAACGAGTTTATCGCAGAATGTGCATTAAGACTAGTTTTACTTGAAATCATTAATATCTCAATTTTTCAAAACTGCACTCATGCGCCTTGTCCTCCAAGCCCCCAGCTCATCACGGGAAAAAAGTTTGATAGCATTTACCATACTCTGGTCAAAAAGCGACACAACCAGACGGTATGGTTACTTCCACCAAAATTATTGTCACAGTAAGGAAACATTTTGTTACTTTCATGATAAGATGAAAGTTACCATACTCTCAGGTTGTGCCGTTTATTAACCAGAATATGGTAATGCTACCTTATTTTTTCCTTGATTCTTTAAATAAAATTTCGCAACGTCGCAACGGAGGTAAGCCCCTTCGGCAGTGACCCCCTCATATTTTGTCTCTCTAGTGGCGACTCGTGCTTTCGAGTGAGTGGGGTCTATGATGCAACTAGTCGTGCCCCCGGGGGGATCGTAATCAGGTCGGCGGAATAAACCGTGAGATTTAATTCGAGAAAAAACGAATGTTGACGCGGAATGTCCATCCGCCCGCGGAGCATTTTTCGTGGACTCGTGGAGCCGAGCCAGTGGCAGTCACCGGGTTGCACAGGGATCCCAATCGATAGCCCAGCGATCGCTGCTCACTGCTCGCCCATTCAGGGACGGCCGGGCAGACCCTGCACCCTACACCGTCCCGCGCGTGCAGCCCTACAACAGGAGCTCACGACCTAGTGCTCACCCGCGGTATCCCTTTCGAGTGTCCGGTTAAGTGTGAGACTTACAAATTAGTGACCCGGCTTCCGTTTTGTCCCTGGTAGCAGTGACCCTACTTTCATACTTTCAAAAAGTCCGGAAAAATCGCGAAAAAATCGTGAAATTTGAACATTTATTGTGAGATTCGAAAAACAAAAGTGCGAGGTGGGAGGGACTTGTTAAATATTCGCAAGAATGGTAATTCTCCTAAAATGGTCCCTTGTACCAATAATACGTGCGAGACTCGCAAATTAATGACCCGGGTTCAGTTTTGTTCCTTGTGGCAGTGAATCATTTTCTAAGTTAAAAAAAAATCGAAAAAATTGCGAAAAAATCGTAATATTTGAACATTTTTTGTGAGATTTGCTTTAAAATAAACTTGTGGGGTCGAAGGAGCTTGCTGAACATTCTTGAGAACGTTACTTTGACTACATTTTATAATCAGGAACTTCAATTTCTGGCTCATATTACCTAAGAACAACGTATGAATCCTTAGTTTACCTACGTTGATAAGTGTTTTTCACAATTGAGCCAGAAATTGTAGTTCCTACTTGCAGAATGCAATCAAATTATCCTAAAATGCCCAAATGGCATCTTTGTACCTACCAGTTAAACATGTGAGACTCGCAAATTAATGACCCGGTTTCTTCTTCGTTCTAAATATCTGTAAAATTATTGTAGATTTTGAGACAAATGTGAAAAAAAACGTCAAATTGAAGGATTTGTTGCGATATTAAAGTAAAAAAAATATGTGAAGTGTAAAATGTTTTTTTCTAAAGTTTTTCGAGTATGATAGGTAATTATTCCGTAATGGTTAAAATCACATGCCTCTAAAATGTCTGATAAAGGAGGCAAAATCCTTATCTAGATCGCAACGTTTCAAAATCGTCGCTGTAATCTCATTTGTTACTTAGTAGGTAATTGAGTACGAAAGTTATATATTCCCTTCATTTTCTTATGTACTGAAAGAGAATCTCAAAATAATTTGAAGTATCAGATTTTAAAAGCCCATTTAATTTAATAATGTGTTCACGATGCGACAATAGGAGACAACAATCAATTGTCAATCCACGATGTAAATAAGCCCCGTCTCAAAATATTTCTTTAACTCAAGAATGTGATAGACATGTGGAACCATAACCCAAAATCCGGAATAAACGATGGTTCGATGTGCATCTCTTCTTGTGACGTATTGATTTCAATCCTCCAACTTGCCTTGTGTTTACATTTTGTCAACCTCACGTCACCATTTTGTGCGAACAATATCATTTGAATGGACGGCGACTAAATAATTGATCGAATTTAGCTGGTTTTGCCGAATTGGAACAGAATCGATTCTGCTGTGTTTAACGGTGCTTGGTTCATGAACTATAACCTTTGGTTCAAGTGAGCCTTTCCTTGAGTTGCCCGTTCTTCATTAGTCCGGCGTGCGGTATGCAGATATTGTGCGGATATTGTGTGTATCACATTTGAGAACCCCCATGGCCGGCGTACCACACTTTCATTTGACCACAAAAGAAATGGACCAATTAGGTAAGCACCTTCATTTCCTCTTCTTCACATCATCAAGAGAGGGATCCCTAGTGACAATGACTGTTTTTCTACCGGATTTATTACACCTAGAAGCACATTTCAGCTCATGATTAAATGCAATATTTTGCGATTTGATACTTTTAGCCAGGGCCGGATTTACCCACTTGCCGCTCATGGGCCGCCTGTATTTTGCCGCCCTCTTCTCATTAGTTTTGTAACATCAATAAAAACCATCAAGTGAACGTGCCGGAGGGGAGAGGGTGCATTAGACGCGTTTATTCGTGTTGGACACATTTTTTGCGAAAGCCCTGTCAACTTTACTAGCAAAAGTTCACGGAACTTTGCGCGAAAGTTAAGATCCGTTAACCTCTCTCTGATAGGACAAAGCCTTCCATGTAAGAGAAATTAACAAAAAATTATGAAAGAACAAACATAAATGTGGTTTAATAATTTTAACTTCTGCCGCCGCGCCACGCTGACCGCACTGTGTTTGGCGCAATGCGGGAAGTATTCATCCAGTCTTGTAGGCGCTATGCATTTCACGTCGACCGCTGCTGACCACACTGTATTTGACGCAATGTGTGAAGTATTCATGCAGTCTTGTAGGCGCTAATATGTGTTACATGCCGACCGCCGCGCCGAGGCGTGGGCTTCTCTTATTCATCTAAAGTCTTCATCATCATTGCTCTCTGCGCCGCGCCACTCCAGGCCAAATTGCGCGTTTGGTTTCTCTCTTAACTCGACTTATTGAGGGTGCTGTCTCTTGTATCACCGAAAGACGACAAAATTATATTACTTTACCTACTCTCCGGAAATTAAATATTTTGTCGCCTTATTTTCTCGTTTGTAATTTTTTTTTTTTCTGAATCCGATTTTTGTTTATGCCTACATTTAGGAAAAAATGCAAAGTTTGCCGCCCCCTAAATTTGCCGCCCCCTAAATTTGCCGCCATGGGCCGCGGCCCATGTGGCCATCCCCATTTCCAGCCGTGCAGTTTTAGCTTCAATTTAGATTTAACAAATGAGATTTTCAGGGAATAAACAGCTGGATCATGGGCCTCCGAGCGAATGGATCCTTTTTTGGCCACAAATTTGAGGTGAAACCAGTAATTTTGCCAAATTTGTTCGCAAGTTTGATGCTTTTTTACCGCCTCTATAGTATGTTCACATCGAGGAAAGAGTGTGAGACATTTCTGAAGTACTCAACATGATATACGAGCAATTTTGCGGATGAAAAATCTACTCACTGGCTGTATATCTCGTAAACAGCAGATCCAATCATAGTACTCCGGTGGTCCATTGATCGGCCATGCGATTACTTGCGTGTGGTTTTGCCACCTCTGCTTAGATGTAACCTCTTGTCAAAGCTTGCTTTGAGTCAAAGCAAAAGTTTTAAAGTTATTTGGGGGAATTTAGAGTTTGTATTATGCAGACAGGGAGTAGAGAGCGCTGTGAAAGCTACTCTTGAGTGTGTATGCAGACAGGGTCAGATTAGGGGTGGCGTTTGAGAAGCAGCTGCATTAGACGCCATCATAGCAAGGGCGTTAAACTGAGAGAAAGTAACAAAAAAAAAGAAAACGAGGAAAGGAAAATTGACAATAATGATAAGTATCGACTTTACAAGGGCAGCAACTTATTGATAAGTTGTCCATGTGAAAGTCGCCTTCAATTTTGTCACATAGGCAACAGATATACCGTGGAGCGTGAATAGTTACCTTATTCAAAAATCAGATTAATCCGATGGACGATGTTGTTACTTAATTGATGAGGACCTTTGTCCATCGTGACCATTCGCTTCCAACAGCAGAATCCCTCCATTTTCTCTTCGTCTTCTTTCTCTATCACTTTATGTCTATCAATTTCAATGATGAGCCCACTCGTGGGATATTTTGGAACTATGAATCTTAACCTCCGTTTAAAATTTAACAAGTATCCAAAGTAGTTGCCAAATTTTAACCGTAGGACCCAAGTGACATTTTACAGAACAATAATATTTCAACATATGCCCATAATGTTCCAATAAAATTGTAATTTTCGGAAATAATATGAGAAATTTCCAAGATTCCTGGTAACGATATCTCAAGGTTTAGCCGGTATATTAAATTAAAAAAGTAGGCCTGTAAGGCAATATGCGTCACAACCAGAAATTGCAAATTATTGTTCCTTTATTCCAATTTTTGGCGATCCAATCAAAACATCTCTATGATTTTGCCCCTTCAATGAAGCGGACAGGCAATCCGCACACCTTGCCCCGAAATTGAAATAATTTTACGATACTTTCGCAACTCATGGCGATCTTTACAACTTAGGATGAATCCCAACAAGCAGAAGTGATTGAACCAGGCATTACTTTTGTAAAATTCGAAGTCAGTGATGAGCCAGACATTTCTTTTGTAAAATTCGAAGTCGGTAAAATTTATTATCCACAAAAAAATCCCAGAAAAATCCCCAAAAAATGGAGAAGCGGCAACGTGGATGTCCTTTTTCCGATGAGTCGATCTGACCGGCCGTGCGCCGGTACCTTCCTTTTCCTTCCTTCCTCCCGTCTCGACGCGAGCATCTTCTGTTTCGAGTTGAGCCGCAGCCTCCGAGCCGGAGAGAAGATCCACCTGTTGCATCATGGACCGCTCCCGGACTCTCCCGCCGTTCTCGGAGCTTTGAACGCACCGAGCTTTCGAACTTTCAAATTTTCGCGCCCTCGAAATCAAGTGTACTCCCTCCGTGGACTCCTAAAGTGCAGTGATACGAAAAAAAGTGAATTTTGATCGGAGTGGACAGGAACTAACGAATACTGATACCTATTTTTCGTCCAATAAGTGATTTTTCTTTAGTTCGGTGACGAAACTAGCGTTCAAGTAAAGTTCCAGAAAAAAAACGACCTAAAATAAAAATTATAAAACAAAAATTCTGGAAGCTTTTTTGCGGTTAAATCTGTGAATAGAAAGGGGAAATCGTGTTTTGGAATCAATTGAGCTTAGTTGCTGCAGCTGAGATCTTAGTCAGAGGATAATTTCCTTCTCTCTCTTCGCAACGGTGTGTGCGGCTATCAACGACGAATAATTTGTTCCCTCGAACATTTTTGAACATCCGTCAAAAGGACATTCACTGTAAGTTTCTGGTAAAGTTACAAAAACTATTACGGGGATTTTTTTTAGTAGCTCTGTGGATTTCAAAAACGTAGATGACGGTCCTTTTAGTCTTTAGTTTCACTTTATTGCCTAAATTCACTTGCAATTAATTGTCTTGAAAGTATTTTTCCCACTTTTCCGATGGAATTTCTTTCATTTTTCTCTCATATGAGAAATCAGACTCCATCATTACCCATACATTTTCAAAATCAATTACCTATAAATTTTTAGGGAAATAAAGAGGTATTTTTATTTCAGATGCACATGTGAAAAAATTCGACTGTCTTCTTTGAGGTCAATCCACAAATCGAAACATGGATGCATTATATTGTTAGTAAATGCGAGAAAGAAGAACATGGGAGCTCAAAATCGTGAAAAGATTTTTGGAAGACTGATATAAAAGTATGCCCTCACACGGGAACTTCAAGAGCCCTGGCAGAAAGGATGGGCGAGACTTTGTCATGAGTGATGCTTTGGACAAAACACATCCATAAACTGGTTTCCTTTAAACAATGCGATGACCTACGGTGCTGTGAATTAGGGAAAAAATAACGCTCACCTAACCCGTTACATCTGATACAGAATAAGTTGAATACAAAATGAGACACCCCATAACGTCCACTTATTTTCCAAAGTTCGCTTCAAATTTTATTATTGGACACTTTCAGAGAGAATTTCTCGCTTTATACTCAAAAACTTTTCGGTGATTATTTTGCGCCTGTATGAATTACTACAGAGAATCGCCATCTGGCCGCTGTGCCTACGCGGTTTTTTCAGCAGTTGCTATTTCCAACCCTCAAAAATTTGAGCCTAATAAACTCACATATTAATTCTTGCCAACAGCCACAAAACTTATGGAAGTGGAACGAGTGAATGGAACTTTTAATATTTAGTTGAAATGTGAAATGAATATTCGAGCATTCATGGAACTAAGGAGGATGTTTTTCAAAAGTGTCGATGAATTTTAGACGGCCACATTTTATGAAATATTGGAATAATTTGATATTTTGGAATGTTGCAATTCAGTTGTTCTTTCATCAAGCAGAATTTGTATCAGTCGAATTTTCCAGTCTTTCCCTCTTTAAAGCTTTATGGACACTATGCATATTTAAAATTTTTACTTTAAATCGACTGGTTGACTGTTGAAAAACTAAGCACTTCTTTAATATAGGTACATACCTAGATATTAGAGAAGTGCTCAGCACTACAGCGGTCTGATTTTTTATTTTGATAGACAAAGCTATGGCGAAGGGAAAATGTAGCACCCGATGGACTGAAACAGATGGTTCTTATAGACTAAGAGGGAGCAAAATGTTGACCTCTTGTGGGTTGCCGTTAATTTAATAGTTCTGTTGAACTAACGGCAAATAATAATATGAGGTTTAATGCGTAGGTAACCTACCTCCTAATTGTCCATTGCAAACATGCACCATAGTTCATGATCGTTCCATTTAGTTCTTGTCTATTACTTTGTCTATCAATTTCAATAATCATATGAGGTTTAATGCGTAGGTAACCTACCTCCTAATTGTCCATTGCAAACATGCACCATAGTGCATGATCGTTCCATTTAGTTCTTGTCTATTACTTTGTCTATCAATTTCAATAATCAACCCGCAGGAGTTATATCAGTGATTTAGTGTATAAAAAGTATAAATATTCATGGTATCCATACGCTTTAAAGCATTGGCGGATCTAGCAATCCGGCAACGCCGGATTTCCTCCATTTAAACCTATGGAAATGTATCGATTCTTGGAGGGGCCAGGTGCTCCGTCAAGAATCGATTATTTGGCATGAGTTTAAATGGAGGAAATTCAGTGTTGCCAAATTGCAAAGCCTCTGCAAAGCAGTATTGACTAATATAATGATGTGATGAGGATTTCCGGATGTGAGCGTCAGAGGCGTCGGAGGGTGTGATTATTAAGGTGTTCGCTACGAACACCCTGTTTATCGATCCTTTTCCATAGGTTTAAACGGCATAACGATCGATATATAGCAAAGCACGCCACGCCACTGTTTCATATCCATTCACACGGACGAAATCTCAAGCTGTAAACCTGCGGGAATATCCACCACTGTAACAGCGAACACCTTAATAATCGATTCTTTACCATAGGTTTAAACTGCAACAATCGATACATCGCAATTGACGCCACGCCACCGGTGAGCGCGCATTCTTCATCGTGATCGAGACTAAACTTACGAAAGGAGGGGACTTTTTTGCGTAGTAGTAATTTTGACTCCGTTCTATTTGGTGGTCCATTTCGCCGGCGTTCGACACTGAGCCGAGTTTGACAGCTCAATTTGAGTGGAGGCATTGAAGAGAGCAGGATCCCGGTGCGATAAAAGTTGAGCGCGGTGGATTAAAGGGGCCGAAAAACCCGGCAAAATAGAAGCAAACCGGGAGTAAGCGGCGCAATGCGCGGTACCGTAACAAACTCTTTATCCACGGCTGTTACCGAGGTGTTTGACCAGTGCTGCGGGTTCGCCGAACTTGCTCTTGACAAGCGTTAACCGTCAAACCGTAGAGTCCCTTGTTTTTATGCACCTCAACAGAGAGAAAGAGAGGGAAGGGGGAAGGAGGATGAGATGCGAAAGAGATAGAAATGTTTCAAAATGGGATGGACATGTCGAGGATTAAACTGCGCAATGAAAAAAAAATTCTCGGCGTTTTTACGAAGGTCCGTTGGTACCTTTACCATCTCACTTTTTTTTACCAATTATTGGTAATTTTACCAAGACAGACTAGTAAGCTTACCTAAAAACCGGTATTTTTACTGTTTTCTTCAGGTAAGAATACCACCTTTATTGGTAATCCATTCCCGGTAATTTTACCACAGTCGATAAAAAATATTGGCATTTTTACCAAGGTCCAGTAAAATTACCGAGAAAGTTCAACAATTTTACCGAGATTTTTCGGTAAAATGACCAATTCCATAAATGGTAATTTTTTACCTGGAAAAAACTGGGATCAAATAGAACCCTGAATTCTTGGTAATTTTACCCTTTTCTTAGTAAATACACCGAGATTTTTTTCTTTCAGTGCGAAACCACGTATCTCCATTGCGGTTTTTCAAAATTTTCGCTTGTGTTTTATATTTTAGAGGAGACATAAGACGACTTTAGAGCTTGAAATTTATGCGGAATATTCTGCTGGTATAACTGAAAAATTAAGGATGGCCTCAGGAAATTACATTGCCGAGTTTTCTGGGGGTAAAATAAAGGATGACGGGAAGTCTGCAACGTCACAAACGAAGATGCGTGATTTCGTATTTTGAAGAGGATAGAAATAGGAGTCAAAAATTAAAAACTCAACTGTGCCTCAATAACTTTTAAAGCTGACCTCAATGTTTATTAGTCTCGGTTTTACGGTTTTCCGCACTTCGGCCATATCGATATGTGATCGAAAAGGATAGATATCTGACGTAAGGGCGTATCTGGATTTCTGGATGAGCCCCGGAGAGCATTGATTTATACGTGGAACAGGGCTCACATGGAAATAAGATACGCCCTTACGTCAGAGGAGCGACGATATATTGGACCATATTCTGCAACTAGAAACCATTTCTGGCTACTCTAAAAAAATCACCTGTGTGCTTTTGTATAGGGAAATGAATGAAGCATAAGTTATTTCTGAAACTGCAAAAACGCTTATCACGGTTCTCGGCGCTCTAGTTTTTCGGTAATAATTTATTCTCTAGTTGGAGAAATGCTCATAATTTATTGAAAACTTCCCTGATTCTTCTCTTTCGGGGAAATGTTCTGTGAAACCTTCAAGCAATGGTGTTGGTTCTTTCTCTTTTAATAAACCCTGGTAAAAATTTGCAGTAGAATCTGTGTTCCAAAATACCATAGACCTACAGCCGGCTGTAAGATTTCCAATAGCTTAAAGCCGGCAACACAATTTCTTATATCCTTTTATAGCCGATGGCGATTAAGCAACAGCCTGGCGATAAAGTGTATGCTAAACGTTACTAATTACGGATGCTAGGACTTAGTGAGTTTTCGGACTACCGCTCTCCTTTTGGGCCGCAGTATCTTTATTTATTTTACGGGGAAAGCTCTGTACTTTTGAAGGATGCCTGCCATTCCTAAAATGTTGGAGCGCCTTCAATTTCGTATGATACTGTGCAATACCTCTGGTGTGAGATAGTTGCTTCAAGCGCCGTGGTACGCCGCGGCGGGCGGACAGCCGGAGCGAAACGCGCATTGGCGCCTACGAACCTAACAGGGATACTTCACGCATTGCGCAATGCGTGAAGTATCCCTGTTAGGTTTGTAGGCGCCAGTGCGCCGCCGCTCCGCTTTGTGTTAGGCTCTCATACTTAATCTCGTGGAGTCAGCGTTTTTCAACTCATGACTTTGAAGTGTTCGCACACTCTGTATGGATTATTCTCATTTTAATTGATGAAAAAAAATATGTAGTAAAGGAAAATATAATGTGCGTTTTGTAAATATTAAGGTGATTCCGTACAAACTTAAGGATTTACAAAGCACACGAATTTCGACACAATTTGTTATAGCACTTTATAGCCAATGGCGAAAAAGCAACAGCCAGGCGCGATAAAAAGTAAAGCCCAGCGATATGAACTACAGCCCGGCTGTATAATTTTTTATCGCTTCGTGTAGCCCGGCCGTAAGATATTTTTCACTTTCTACAGCCAGCTATATGATTTCCTATCGCCTTCTTCAGTCGGCTGTAAGAACTCCTATGGTATTTTGAAACGCAGCTCCTATCGCCAATTTTTACCAGGGAAGTAAAATTAAAACGGAGATTTTGAAACATCGCAAACGAAATGCGCGATTTTATCGGATTTTCATCGCCCACATTCAGCCGTGATAAGGAGAGATATTCCGGGAACTTCCGATGACCACAGTGCGAAACCACGTACTGCCGTTTGCAAAGTTGCAGACACAGACTTAATTTTTTCCCTGAAAAAATAGTCAACGTAATTTCTTGATAACTTTGATTTTTCTTCTGTGCTAGCAGAATATTCTGTGTAAAAAGCTATATGGTTGGCTTTTTTCCTGCAACAAAATAAATAAAATAGGAGCGGAAATGTTCGAGACACTGCACTGGAGGTACGCGGTTTTGCACTTTGGGCATCGATTTGAGATATCTTCTCTCCCGAATAGCATAAGTCGCGATAAATTGAGGCGCTGGTTGCAAAAAGGGCATTTCTTGGTTGCGATGTCTCAGAAATTCCGGTAACGTTTCATCCACTACGACGGAAGCAAACAAATGGAATTTTCTGAAACTGAAACTGGATTTTCTTTGTGATTTTGTAATAAGGAAAATGAAAAATTCCAGAAAATTTCCCGATAGTTTACTCTCTAAGATATAAATTGGCAGTGGAGATTCTGAAACATGGCAGCCAAGAAATGTCCTTTCTGTCCTTTTTGCAACGCCTCAATGGAGATGTTGATGCCTGAAGAATTTGCGATTTGACTGTTGATTCTTACGTAAAAGTTCGCGAAAAACACGATGGTGCCACTGGTTTTCTCCGAAATCAACTCCCAAGCTCAAAAAAAGCTCTCAAGTTGAGGCCAAAATGGAGGGGATATCCCACGCTATCCTGAGAGTCCACATCTACACCAAGACAAACTCTCCATGCAAAGATAGGGAGCAAATACATTGACAGGGCTGCCACTTTATTTGGGGACTCCAAAAATGACTGAAAACACGGCATCACTGCTAATGTATTTGCTCCCTATCTTTGCATGGAGAGTTCGTCTTGATGTACCTAGAGGTGGACTCTCAGGATAGCGTGGGATATTCCCTCCATTTTGGCCTCAACTTGAGAGCTGTTTTTGAGCTTGGAAGATGATTTCAGGGAAAACCAGTAGCACCATCGTGTTTCTCGCGAACTTTGACTTAAGAATCAACAGTCAAATCGCAAATTCCTTACACATGCAACATCTCCATTGCAACCACATGGTAGATTAATCGCTACTGTATCGAGGTGTTGTGAACCTATGTTCTCAATTTACTGATTAAATGGGTTCAGGTTATTGATGTAATGCGCTTACAAAATGCACTTTTATGCCTCTGTAGCAGGTTGGCTGATTGATATCGAACCGTTATGGATAAATTGTGTGTATTGGTCAGTTACAGGATGGGTGTGAAGCGCGGTCTCTCTGGCGGCTGGTCAGTACTCGCTCTCGGCCTCGGCGTAATGTCTTGCATGACCGTCCTATCGCTGGCAGGTAATAGTAAAAAATTGCCTCATTCACAAACAGCCCTCTTCCCCCCTCCCACCTCCCGATGTTCGGGACGCACGCAAAAAGTTGCTGTCATGGTTTCATGCCTGGACGCTGACATTGATGCGTCTCCCCGTCCATTTAAGTTGCCAGTTTTCGATAGGGATTAAAAATCGATAACTGAACTTGGAAACCGCGTATCTTATTTCGCGACGTTGTTGCCTTCCCGCCATGCACTGATGTTCCACTGGGAAATTCGTCGATGTAATTTCTTGACGACGTCCGAGAATTTTCTTGGTGCTTAGCCAAAACATATTTGGTGAAAAGTCCAAGGAATAAAATTGGCGTTCCCCTCGAAAAAAATAAAGAGAGATGGGCCAATTTGAAACACCGCAATCGACATATCGACGGTGAAACTACCAAACCACGTATCTCGGTTTGCGACGTCGCAGACTTCCTGTCATACTTTATTTTTTAAATGAAAAACTACTCAACGTCCAGTCTTGAAAATTTCTGTGATTTTTCCTCTTCGTGCGGAGAAAATTCTGTGAAAATTTCAAGGAATGATATTCATTTGGTCTACTTCAAAAAAATAAAATGCGAGCGTAGATTTTTAAACACCGCAAACGAGATACGTGGTTTGGTAGTTTCACCGTCGATATGTGGTTTTTGAGTTCAGCTATCGATACTTTCCACTTGTTTGCTTTCATTTCAGCCAAGTTGTAAAATAAGGTTTAATTCATTAGGATTGCACCTTGAACTTCATTGTACTTTGTATAACATTTTTTTGATGGGATTCAAGAGATAACGAGTGTAGTATTTCTTATGCTTCAGTTTCAAAACATTGTTACGACGCGACTGAAATCAAATTGCAAAATAAAAAGATGAAAGAGTAATTGTCTACGAATTACATGCCGAAATGCACAATTTTCACAAGGAAGAGGCAATTTATTGTTCATGATTTCATCATCAAAAGATTAAGTTGCGAACACTCAATAATTGGGATTTTAATAATTTTCGGACTTTTCAGTTTTCTTTTACACAAAATAAGGGGAAAAATAGAAAAAAAAATTAATATTTTGTAACCTCACGTATATCATCTTAATTTCGTAATTCCAAAATACATGTGATGTTCCAAAACTGCGATGGCCTTTCTCATTCATTTTTCCGTTTCCTTTGCGTTTTTGTTTCACCTAACAAAATGAGTTATTCAACATTAAACTGACAAACCTTGAGATGAAAAAAGGAAATAACACATTCTTGTTGACAGAAAAATGGAAATACTATTGCGCATGGCGTCCCATTCTCAGCCAACGAACGCGCTGCTCACACTAACGCCTTGCGATGCAACTATTACTGCTCTATGGATGTGCGTGTTGCAAGACGATAAAATTGAAGGCGCTATGGCTACTCTTAAATCACGCGGTAATATATGTGTTAATAGGGAGGTCTCAATCGAGTCTTTCATTGACACACCAACACGGGGTGACATTTTTATGCCTGGCATACAGATTCTCTGGTGCCTTCAAATGGGACATTGCAGACGTTGCCACGAACACAAAGAAACTGAATACGCATTCGCTTTTGTCTGTATGGAACTATCGTAGAGCATTATTAGTTGCATCCAGGTTTTAGCATAGGCGTTGCAATTGCCGCCTAGCGATGTGCCAATAATTATGATTCATTTCTGTGACTGAGAAATCAAGTCAATGATACTTTCTTTCGTTTCAAAGCAAGAAAATCAAAGGCAACAATTCCAACTCACACGGACACTGGATCAACTAGATATCATAAAAAAGTGAGTTAAGATTCTATCACATCCGGAAAAGTGATGTTTAAACTCGGTCTTTGATAACAAACGGAAATCTACTAATTATACTTTCAGAATATGAACATATAGGTGCCCATTAAAATTGTTACCTGTCAATTTTTTTTATGGCCAAATTACTATTTTATCATTACTACTTCATCGGAAGCGCGATGCAACTCTTTTGAAAATATTCCAATTATTTCCAATGCACTAAAAGTTTGGCACGCATCTGGGCTACTTGAACTTTCAAAAGCCCCCGAAATTCTGTAGTTGCCCGTATTTAAGGACGACGTTTTTACTCACATATGATCATTTTTTAAATTTAATTAAGTACAATAGGAGATAAATTAAACATGTTTCTTGCTTCCTTTTTACAGTTCCAACGGCTCGCCTTTCAAAAAGATTTGAAACGAATGGGGGAACAAACAACACCCTCTCGAACCATGAAAGTAAGTTCTTATCATTATCTGTTCATTTGATGGATCGCTTCAGCGATCAATTTTTTATTTGAAAAAGACGATAAATTCATTCAAAATATCGAAAACCGTAATTAGAGGGGGGTGGGGGTTGGACTGTGCATCCTCAGAATTATCATAACAGATCAAATTACAGCCAATATTTTCCAAAGTGTTCGATTAAATCAAACAACATTACCATGGCCTTAATTTCAAATTCAACCTGTCAATATGATAATAGTAACACCTGATTTGTTAAAGAAATGAAAAACAGTATGTCATAAGCGTCATTGGGTCTCATTACTAAGTACCTATCACAAGCGCCAAAATGGACGCTGGCTTGATTTTTTTTTCAAAGTATATCATAATCAGATACTAATCTGTTGTGTTTATAGCAACAGTGATTAACTTTTTCCGTTTTACCTATATTAGTCAAATGAAGATTGGCGCTCAATTGGCCCTTACGATACTTTGGCTGGAAGGTGAAGACATCGCGATATCAAAATTGAAGCATAAAATATACTTACTTTCTACTCACGCCTGTGTGCGACTATTCGTATCTAATAGATATCCTTTATTTTCTGATCCTGCCCGTCCATTGGCGCGCACGTGCTGTGCATGCCACTCCACGGTCGAAGCGTCGAGTGCCTGGAGAGTCAAAACGCCTTCAACTTTGTGCGTATGCAACACGGACATCCGTTACGCTCGAATAGTTGCATTCACGCCTTACAATGAGCGTAGTTCAGTTTTCGTCGCATGACACCAATTTAGGGCGCTTTGCTTGTTTATTTTTCCTCTTCATTTAATTTCGGCGTTGCCTATCATGCCAATGGAGTAAACTATTACTGATTTTTATTGCAACGTTGTCAATTTTTCGAAATTTACATTGATCGTTTAAAAGTATTACAACGTTAAATTGCCTGTCCTCAAAATCGCAAAAAAAAAGATATGTGAAGTGATTTGTCGAATTCTTTGTAGTTTGTTACTTTAACGAATCGTTTTTTGTTTCTTTAATTCTTTTCGAATGAAGCTTTCGACGTTTAAGTGCGATATTTTTGACGAACGATCATGATGAATCGCACGTAATTTTGACCAAAAAAATGCTAATTCGTCTTTGGTAAAAATTAAATGCGGCAGGGAATCTGGAAAATTACAAGTCGAAATACACATAGACGATTTTCTAGTAATTGTACTAGCGTTATTTTATTTTATTATTTATTTATTTGATGCGAGAGAATGAAGAAGTTGAATTTAAAAGTGAAAATGTTACCATTCTGTAAGACCACGATGCAAAGTTTCTAACTTGTGCGCGTTTTTAAGGCATATTAAATCGTCTTGCTATGTCCTTTCCAAAAACTGTTTCATTTGAAAGCAGAGAATATCTTCATGCTACGTACACCAAGTAATTTCAACTAATAAACAAAATGCATCAAATTTTAGATGCTCTTTTACTTTTTTATACGGTTTCTTGTTTTAGGCTGCATTGCGGGGAACAAATCGTACAAGAGCGGCGAGATGGTGACGGAAAATGCAGGCCCTTGCGAGGAGTGCGTATGCAAACCTCCCAACATCCAGTGTACGATGGTCCACTGTCCCGTGAAGACGGGTTGCAAGATCATTCAGCTTCCCAACCAGTGCTGCCCTCAGTTTCAATGCGGTGAGAACAGATACTAACACACGTAAAAAATTGTAACATTTATGGCGGAGTTCGACAATGTACGCTCAACAAGATCGCTTAAAACGTCGGGAGTTAGGAGCTTCGGGCGAACAGACAAAAGAACTACTAAGTGGATGGAAATACGCCCACTGATAGACGTATTTACCTGTACAGTCAAGTCAACGCAAGGGCTTTTGATTTTGAATTTTGGTGAACAAAGAATCCTCATTTCTTTTGGACAGTCAAGTAGGCATGCAAGGTGGTAATTGAGCAAAAAGTTTATGTAGGAACTGCAAAACTTTACAAGCAACGATGCTATTAATAATGTTAAAAAAACCGGCGATGACATTGTTTTTTTCCGTTACTGATGGAAAATTCGATGACATTTTCAGTATTCTCAAAATGGAGAGTAAAAATTCAGCCGAAATGATGACGGCAAAATGGAACACGATTTCAAGAAGTATAAATGTAATTACTTCCAAATAAAGTCATCGCATTTTTTACTTTTTTCCCCACTTTTTTTGGAGGAATGTACAATACTTATGAGCCTCACAGCTCATTGAGTACCTGCATATGTACGCAGGGCCGGATTTACCTACTTGCTGCTCACGGGCCGCCTGTATCGTTTGCCGCCCCCTTCTCATTCGCTTTGTAACATCAATAAAAAACCATCAAGTGAACGTGCCGGAGGGGAAAGGGTGCATTAGACGCGTTTACTCGTGTTGGACACATTTTTTGCGAATGCCCTGTCAACGCTACTAGCAAAAGTTCACGGAACTTTGCGTGAAAGTCAAGTTCCGTAAACCTCTCTCGGATAGGTCAAGGCCTTCTATTAATGAGAAATTAATAAAAAAATTATGAAAGAACAAACATAAATGTGGTTTCATAATTTTAACTTCCGCCGCCGCGCCGCGCTGGCCACAATGCGTGAAGTATTCATGCAGTCTTGTAGGCGCTATGCGTTTCACGTCGACCGCTGCTGACCACACTGTATTTGACGCAATGCGTGAAGTATGCATGCAGTCTTGTAGACGCTAATATGTGTTACATGCCGACCGCCGCGCCGAGGCGAGGGCTTCTCCTATTTATAACTCAAGTCCTCATTATCATTGCTCTCTGCTCCGCGCCACTCCAGGCCAAATTGCAGTTTGGTTTCGCTTATAACTCGACTTACTGAAGGTGCTGTCTCTTGCATCACCGAGAGACGACAAAATTATAAATTACTATGCTCTCAGAAGATGAAATATTTTGTCGCCTTATTTTCTTGTTAGTAATTTTTTTTCTGAATCCGATTTTTTTTTAATACCTACATTTCGGTAAAAATGCAAAGTTTGCCGCCCCCTAAAGCCGCCATGGGCCGCGGCCCATGGGGCCATCCCCTAATCCGGCTCTGTAGATACGTCAAAAGATTATAGAAATTTTGCATTTCGCCAAGCAATATAGCATACATTATTTCTTTCTCATTTAGATTTAAAGTCCTTACAGAGAAGAGGAAGGAATTCTCCAAAATCACATGGGGAAAAAAAATGTACTTAAATATGTATGAAAACCCTTAGTAATCACTCCAGTGTTTTAATTGGGCGTTTTCTTTTATTAGACTGCGAGTTCAATGGAAGGAATTACTTCAATGGAGAGCAGATAGAGGCACAGCTGGACAAGCCGTGTGAGGTCTGTTACTGTAAAGGAGGTGACGTGATGTGCACGTCAGTAACTTGTTACGAAAGGAGTGACTGTCAAGCAAAGGTCGTCCCTGGCCAATGCTGTCCAAAGTATGAAAACTGCCCACCAAGAGGTAAGTGTATTTTTGCGTCATTTGCAAAAATTGGGACGAAGAAATACCTACTTACAAGGGCGAATGAATTTTTTTTTTGGGGGGGGGGAATGCTTTTTGTAAACTCTATTGATTTTTGTGCTTAAGTAGATTTGAAAAGATATTTTAAGGTGACATTTTGTCCTTTAATGATACTGCTACTCGATTAGCACAATGCAATAAAAATATTGAAGTGAAATCGCGATTTAATGCACTGGAATTGCAGTTTTTTTTCGTTTTTGACCACAAAATTGCATTTTTTTAAAACATAATTTAGCTAATAATTACTCATTTTAAACAATTATAACTAGATAGTTTCCATGCGTGTCATGACAATAAGCAATTTGCAATGCAATGAAAAATTGCAACTTATTTTATGTGATGAATCTCGTTGGGGAGAGCCCCTTCAATCAGTGGATAGGCAACATACGCAACGTTCCGATGCAGTATCAATAATTTTACAATGTAAGTGCAATTTATTGCAATCTGTGTAATTTATGAATATCAGCCAGAACGTCAATCGAGGGGCTTGAAGGACAAGACGCCAAAGTACAGTTTTTGCTATTTCGAGAAATACATGTTCGGAGTTGCAAAATTACATAGATCCTCATGGCAGAGAGAAACTTCAAACTGACTTTTTGATGCTTAAAAATTAGAATTTGGGAGTAAATTTTGCACAGAATATGCATTAAGACTAGACTTACTTGAAATAATTAATAACTCAATTTTTTCAAAAACTTCACCTGTGAGTCTTGTCTTCCAAGCCCCTCGATTGTTCTGTTGGAATCCAAATAAGAAATGCAAAAACGCATTTTTATTCTTGCAGGAGTGAAAGAGCTGGGACATTCTGATAAAACTGAGGGCACCATAGATGATGATTCTAAAACCAAAAAGCGAGAGATGCAACCGTGGCTACTGACCAATCCTGCCGAGGAGGTGGAACGCCACGAAACGACGGAAATAAATGCACTAACTATGGTGCACAATGAAGACTCATCAGCAGGAACGACAGAGGAACGGATAGCTGCTACAGAAAAAATAAGCAGTAATTACTTAGAAAACCTATCTACAGAGTATAGATTGCTTGACGACAAGTCAACTTACGAAACAACAGAGAAGGTTGAACTGGAGGATAGGGGGAAAGTTACAAGTGTCTCATATGATTTTGATGCAACAGAGGCGTATGAACTCAGTACACAGCCAGAAAGAAATGAGTCTCGGGATAGTTCAGATTTAGCCACAAATGCAGTCTCGACAGAAAAAGACAGCAGTCTTGCAATAGCAGCCACAAGTTCACCGGTTAAATTTGAAAAAATAACAGCGGAACCAGAATCTGCAGGAGCAACAGAAAGTTATAAGGCTCTGGTCTCGGAACTGACAACAGAGCAGGCAGTGCAGGTAACCGAACACTTAGACGGAGGAGGGGACTTCAAATCAGCCTTGGAAACCGATAAAAAAACATCGGAAATTGCCAGTGAAGATGTTGACGAAAATATGAAAGACTCATATACAACATCACTTGCTATGACAGAACTGGATGATGCAACTCTCGCTACAGAAAGGATAGATCAAGAAGCAAATACTGCATCTGGCACTCCAAAGGATATACTTTTCCAAACTGTGGGCTCGACTGTTCAGCCAAATTCTGCAAGCATCAACCAAGACTTTAAAACTTTGACGGCAGCTGTGAGCAATGATGAGGCAACAAATTATGATCATAAAGAAATTAATGCAGAAAAAGGGACTAGTTCTGAGTACATTGCATCAACGACTGATGCCGGCTTCGAGGGGAAAGTAAGCTTCACAACAATTAACAGCGATCTGAAACAAGCAGATGGTCAAACAGAAGATCAAAAATTTAAGGTTGAATTGATATCTCAAACGGAGACACCTTCGTTCACAACCATAGCATCGGACCTGGATAAATATAAAGTACATTTATCTATAGGACAAATTGAGGAAAAAGCTACCGTTGAGAATGTGAATGCTAATCATGATGAAGAAAGGAAAGAAAATGAGCATACCGAGGCTTCCATCGTGCCGACCACTGACTATGAGGAACTAAGCACAGTGTTGAATGACCAGGATGAACCATCGCATAGCAATGTGCTCGATACAGTAACCTCCGCAGCAGTTGGAGACGACCAAAAAACTCAAGAAAAACTGGAGGAAGATAGCGGTAAAATTCTTACGACAACGGAATCTGAGGAAAGCACGAGACTAGTAAGCGATGAGTCCAGCACAAACATAAATCCCAGTTACCCTGAGGAGGCCACAGAGCTTAAAAAAGACGAGAAAATTGTTGAAGAAATAAAAACTATTTCAACAATAGAAATGCTACAATCGACACAAGAACCCTTGAATGACGGTACAACCGAACTGTTAGTTGCCTCTACAGAGAAAATTGTTGGTGAATTAGTTAAAAGCGATACTTCTGAAGAGGAATCACAAACAAAGGCTCAAACTATACAGACGTTTGTAACTGACAAAAGTGAGATGAGTGAACAAATAAAGAATACGAATGCTGATATAAAATCAGATTCGCAGCTCCTTACCACAATGGACCAATTGATGAACCAAAAATATCAGGTAACAACCTTCGCAAAAATAGAGGACAGCGCAGATGTCAGACCTACAACATTTAAAACAGACGAGAAAAATCAAAACGAAGAGGCACTGGACACGACTTCAACTTATTCAGACGTTACTACAGAATCCGAATTGCTCATAATTGATAGCCTCTTGAAATTAGTGGTGTCCTCTGCGTTACCGCCAAACGATCTAGACGACAAAACGAATGTACCAGAGACCCTACAGGACAGTGAGATTACGACTATTGAGAGCTTAAAAACTGAGAAAGAAATACTATCTACTACTGAGGTCACCTACAGCACCGAGCAAGACAGTATTCAGGGTCTTGATAAAACTGCATTCTTAAATGCCCAGCTTTCTCCTGACCAAAATGATATGGAGAACCTCGCCCCGAACTTTGAAAGAAAACCAACTGATTACACCACTAACAGTGATATTTCAACAACTTACGAGCTTGACAAGATTTCAGCAACGGAACATTCAACGGACTTGATTAGTTCCTTAAAACAACAATCAATTGGAGACAATTTGACCGATACAAATTTGAATGAGTCTTCAACTGAAACTTATATGAAACCCGGAGTGTCGTCTTTGATGCAAACAACTGAGGAGTATCCAATTACAGAGGATCCAAAACTTGTCCAAAGTATATTAAATTTGGCACTGTCCATGCAGACACCTGATGATAATACGATGGGCATTCGGCCACCGGATTTTATTCCTATTAAATACATAGGACAGTCAGAGGAGAATCTTAATGACACACAAAAAACCACAGAAATCAATGGGTCAACAACAGAAATCAATGGGTCAACCACACCATTCGATAAGAAAACTTTCTCTACTTTTTTCACTGAAAAAACCGAGGGAACAACGGAGATTTTCGCGGACACCAAGCAGCTGGAACAATCAATATCGAAGCACGTACAAAATCTGACGCAGCTAGCACTCACGCCTATGGCAAACAAACTTCTTAATCTGGTTAATAAAGGCAATAAAACAAATATCAAAAAAGGGCCAGCGCCGCAAAACGTCAAGGATGAAATTATAATGCCAAAGGATTCAGAAATCGAAAGGATTGCAGAAGAGATTCAGAACGCAACGATTTTGTCATTTAGAGACAGCTTTGAAACTTTGGAGAAACAACTTGGGGTGGAGCCAGCAAGCACAACTAAACCCAGCACAATTAAAGCCAGCACAGCTAAAGCCAGTACAGCTAGAGTTAGCACAGCAAAATCAAGCACAATTAAAGCTCTGAAGTCGACAAGTCAACCTGTAAAACACAAAGCGGACTCTGCTCAGTCAAACTTGCACAAAGTGAGAAGAAGACGAAACAAAGTTAAGACCAAAAAATGAATTTGGAGGCAGGAGAAAAAGTAGGATTGTTGAAATTTCTGCAGAAAATGCAAAATTGAACTTTAATGGAGGAAAGGAATATGATAAACTGAAAAAAGAGAATGAGTACTTTACTTTTGTACGTCTTAAGTACATTGCATGGTTAGGAAATATTTTATTTTCTAAAAAAATAAGATTTTAAGACGTGAAAAGTGAGGAAAAATGTGTAAGAATTTTCAGACGGAGCATAGAAAAAAGTAGGCTCCTTTAATTACGAGAGTCCTATTCAATCTTTTTATTAGAATAGACTTGCAACACATATACTTCTTAATGACTGTGATTTTACTGTTAAGTGCGCTCTCATTGCCTTGTTTGATGACTTAAGAAAGAAATGAACTAATCCGGAAGATTTATATACCTGAGTAAGAGTGCAAATCAAACCTACTTTGCAAGTAGAAGATGTTTGATGCACTGACTGGCTATTAGAATTTGTTCTCCAATGAGGAAACATCATTTCAAATTTATTTAATTTCAATTCAAAATAAAAATCTTCTAGATATTGACTATTGATGACGACACAGTAAAAAAAAAGCAATACCTAATATGATTGTTGATGAAAACAAGGAACCAATCTGAATTAAATGTCGATAGGCAAGCAAACTGTGATTGGAGAATCATTTCTGCAGGAAAAAATGAACATATGAGTACATTCAGGATGAAATTGGTGTTTTCAAAAAGGAGAGAAAGTGCAACATCATAGAATCAGTGACAAAACATAATTGAAAATCGAGACCCAAAGATATACTTTGTTTAAACATAATTAATTTTGTTGAAAAATCCGTTCTGTTGGGAGATATTTTCTAATTAAACATTTAAGGGGCTAAAAATAAAATAAAAATGCTCATTTCAGATTCCAACATTGTAAGTCTCCATGTAAGTTTCATATTCTTGAAGGAAAACTAACCAAGAGTTTTTATTGAAATTTTTTATGAATTTTCGGCAATAATTCTACAGAAGTCACACAAAATTGCAAGGAAAAATTTTGATTAGTATTCCTTAAAGAAAATAAAACTTTGAGAGAGCTTCTTGAAAGTCAACAAGAACGTTCAAGAATATTCGTTTGTTGCATTAAGCCATCAATTGATAGAAAAAGTTTCAAGCTTTTTCCAACCGATATTAACACATCTTTGGGTTATGATTGTCATGTTGTTATCTCATTAATCCTTCAGCACCCCTGAATTAAAGGATTATAATTTCTTTTCTTTTAAAAGTACACAGAATATCTAAGACAATTGTCGCGGAGAGAATTTATTTTGAGATGATCATTTCAGACTCTTTGACTAAGAGTTTTTTAAAAGAGCCCAATATTTAAGGAGGCAATCAAAATGAGAAATTGAGGTTAAACACTATCATTCTCTTGAACATTCTCTTGAATCAAAATCTCAAATAGACGTAGTATGGTAAGGTTATTAGACAGCATCTAATGTGCTGTCCAAGAGCTTCAGTGGTTTGATAAATTGTTTTTTTCCAAAAATGAACCAAAAAAATTGGAGTAGTGAAGAGATAGAGAATACTTGTAAGATAAATTTTGTAAATTGTAAATACTGTAAGTAATTAGATGTTAATAATTCTCAATGAATGGTAGGGAATAATTGTTGAAATTTGTTATTTTTAAAGTAAATATTATTTAATTACAGTAGTTTCTGTTTTTAATACTTCATTCTCCCTTGAACAAACCGAATTTTTCAATTCAGACCCTGTAGCTTCAATCTACATAAAAAATTTCAATGGCAGGGTTTTTATAATTACTTCATTTTTCAATGCAATTTGCTCTTTCCTCTTTCCAGGGTTTCCTAATTCCCTGACCTGCAAACGAAACTTCCATTGAAATTTTTTTCTTTTCACTATACAGATTTTTGCTAGACTTAGGACGAAACTTTCACCTTTAGATATTAACATTTATGGAAATCGATAATTGGGAGTTGTTTGTACTCTCTTAAATGGCACCTCTGGAAGTTACTGAGCAGATGCACTACTTGTAAAATTCCCTGACTTCTGCAAATTCTTTAAATTTTATTCAAAGAATAAAACTCAAGTAAATTTTCAAGTTATGATGTTGACTGGTTTTTTGATTTATGTATAAAGTAAGATTTAAGTCTGCAATGACACAAATCAAGAGACAAAAAAAATATATATAAAAATAGATATTAAATAAATATAGATAAAAAATTGTTTTTAAAACAAATTTATGATTTATGAAAATTTACTAAAGTTATATTGAGTTTATGTGCTAACATAGGAATATTACATAACATGTGTGAACGATCTGCAAACCTATTGTAGCATGTAAATTCAATAAAACATCTTGTAAAGTTCAGAGCAAACAAGTTGTCCTTTTTTCCTACTTCACAAAATATACTATTTCTTTATCTTTTTTTGGCTGCATAGGCACTTTGTTGATGTAACACATTTCCTTTCATAGGGTGTGCTTTTTATTAATTTTGGATTTCAGTTCTTAATGATTCATGAATTGAGGACACCAGAGAGAAGGCATAGTTGATGTATCTTCGATACAGAAGGAATTCAAAGAACGAAAATCTCAAGATAAGAAAACACTTGCAGCTTTATTCCTGAGAAGATATCAGCAGAAATCCCGAAATAACTCAGAATGAAAACCTGATAGTGTTCAGCACTCCATCAGAAACAAAATATTAACAGTAAGAAAGATAAAAAAAACTATTTAACATCTTTGAAAAAAACTCATAACATAGTCTTTTTCTGAACATGAGGTAAGTCATATTTACCGCGAACACATTTAATTTTTACACCGGGTACATCTTTCAGTCGACCACAACGGACAAGAACAACACTGTGTTCTTGTAAGTTGTGTCCCTCTCCCGGTACATAAGCAGTCAACTCCTTACCATTAGACAAACGAACTAGGACACACTTTCGGTTCGCAGAATTGGGCTTCTTAGGCTTTTTGATCAATGTTTTCAGGACAACACCTTTCTTAAATGGATTCCCATCCAGCGGATTACGATTTGGTCTTACCTTCTTGATTGGGCCTGTTTTATGCATCCAGTAGAGAATTGAGTGTTCAGCTTTCACTCCTCTGATGGAATCTGTAAAATTAATGACACAAAGCTTTTGATAATTTGTTTTGATGATACAATCCATTTTTCTTTCATACATCATAGACCTTTAGCAAAAAGGAACCAGCATGATTACAGTGTTTTCAAAATCATTCAAATTCTTTTTTTTTAAAAAAGAATACTAAATATATGTACAATATTAAAATTTACGCGATTATTTCCCTTTTGGCATGAATTAATTTTGGATCTCAGATTCTAGGGTACACAAATCTATTTTGTAGCTTGCATAAAAAAATAGCGTACCAATTATTTTCCAAAATTTTAAAGTTAAGGGAATAAATTTTTCAAAAAAAGAAAAAACTAATGACATTTTGCAAAATCATGGCACAGGAGAAAAGATTCAATTTTTAAAAACCCCCAAAGTACATTAGTGCGAATTCGTAACGCTATGCCATAAAGGGCTAAAACTAACAATTTTTGGTGGGATGCAAAAACTATTTGTTATTTTGGGAGATTTTATACATAATTATGAAGAAGCAACATTTTAACAACACTAATTGCACTGGTTTTTTTTTTTTTTTTTTTTTTTTTTTTTTTTTTTTTTTTTTTTCCTCCTATGGGCCATCTAATTTCATAACCCTTATTAATATTGGTATAAAATTAAACGATTCCATCAATCCTGATAAAAAAGAAAAAATCAACAAAATATTATTGATCTTATTCTTTCGAGAATTTTCTAATTGTAAACAAAAGTCTGATGCTGCACAGTTGACTCAAGGAGCATTTGCGAAAGATTGAAAAGAATGGCTTTTTTCTAGTTTGGTATTTTATTCCATTATTTCAACCTTGGACATAATTTTATCAGAATACTTTCGCCTAGGATCGTTATCAATTCATGACACAAGGCCCCAATTTGGCAATTTAAAATTTTTAAATAGCCAAAAACTTTAAAAAATTTCATCTGAAGGAGAATGATACCACAAAGGGGGCTAAAAACAAACGCCAAAGTGTGTATAAATTTCAAAGTCTGATGGATTGTTATAAAGCTGAGTAGGTATGTCTACTTTAAGAGAATTTTCTGTTTTTGCCAAACCATCAATTTTTCCTGAAATTATGAGCTTTAAAGCATTACTTAATTTACAGTTGCCACTTAAACCTATATTTATCTTCAGCTGCTTTATAGAAACGTTGTTGTAAAGGAACTAAGATGCAAACTTACTAAATAATGGTAGCACGGATGACGACAATAGTGGTTTACTCTCGGAAACAGTACTGAAAGAAGAAAGGGTACTCATAGGAGATGATAGTGAGGACATCATTGAACTGTTGAACGAATTCCAAGCTCTCGAGAGACCTTGCCGAAGGAAGTTCATTTTCAACGCCTGCAATGAAGCCAGGAAATATGCAAGTTTAATATTACAACTGAAAGTAAAAGATTTCAATTTTTTTAGATTTACTGAAGAAACAATTATATTTAAAGGGGGAAGACGTAAAATAAAGGATGCACCTCAAGTCACAGAAATTCGTGAGAGGGGAGTAAAATCAGAGAGTGTCGTAGTATCCTATTGAGGTCATTGTCTTTAATGAGGACAAGCCATTTGAGTGAGACAAAGTACCAACAATTTAATCCTAAAACAACAGACTAGGCCCACAAATGACTCAATTGAGGATTTCATATTTTTTTTCTTTTTTTCTTTGTGCTGACTATGGTCCTTGTACTGAAAGTAACAGGATGTAAATTCAAGCTAAATCCACACTATTCTGACAATAATCAACCAACTAGTAAGGTTTTTTGAGCAAGGGCAGTTTTTACATTGTAATCAATTCGGATTCCGTAGAAAAAAGTCGACCATTCAAGCCATTCATAAGTTAACGGAATGCATTTACAAAGCACTTGATCAGGGGATCCCGGTTGCCAGTCTACACTTCGATTTTGCAAAGGCATTTGACCTCATTAACCATAAACTACTGCTTAAAAAACTTAGTTACTATCTTCACTCCAGCGCCGTCGACCTTATAGCATCATACTTAAGAAATAGAAAACAGAGAGTGAAAATTGACTCAGCTTTTGGTCCCGTCCTATCAATCGTGTATGGGCTGTCAGCTGGTGTTCCCCAAGGATCTATCCTTGGACCTTTATTATTTATTATTTTTGTTAATGACATGCCTGGTGCGGTGGAATTCCTCACATACTTATTTGCTGACGATACAACATCCATTATATCTGGCCCAAATCTTGATAATGACTGTGCTGCGGCTGAGCACGAGGTGTCATCTTGGTGCGCTGTTAATGGACTTATGATTAATCAAGAGAAAACTCAGAGAATTGATTATAAGACTTCCCACCAAAAAAGAAATCAAACTAATGATGACAGCAGCAGTAAATCTGAAGCTCTTACCCAGGTTAACTCATTGGGTATTATAATAGATGAAACCCTTAACTGGTCATCACATGTACTGAAAGTCACTTCTAAAATTAATTCTATGAAATGGGCACTCAGAAACTTGTCTAAAGTTTTATCCCTGCCATCGTGTTTAATGTACTATCATGCTAACATAATCTCACATTTAAGGTATGGCCTAGTTTTGTGGGGTCTCAACCACTGCTCAGGGCAATTATTTATTGAACAGAAAAAATGTCTAAGACTGATATTTAACAAACCATTTAATTCCCACTGTAAACCCTTATTCATAAAGTACCAACTTTTAACTCTGCCATCTATTTTTATTTTAGACAGCCTAAAATTTGCCATCGACAGCGGCCTGATTCGTAAGGACATGATAAAGAACATGAGAAACCCTTTCATCAATTATGAAATTGTTCGCCTGAAGGTTGCTGAACAGTCTGTGTCTCATACTGCCATCAGACTGTTCAACAACCTTCCCTTGAACCTGAGAAAAGCTCTCCTGAAATGGGATGTAAGAGAGTTCATGGCTGGTCTAAAAGCCTTACTAGTTGGCAAGGCTTTTTATTCCTTGAATGATTTTTTTAATAATATTTAACTGTAATTTACTATACCTTTTATTTTATTTTGTACAATTTTGTAATATTCTTAACTCTTCCCTGTGTTCTTACGTGCCTATATTATATTAATGTGTAATATTTAGGGGGGCTGGGTTGACAAGTATTATAGCCACAACGTGTGGCATTTATGTACACGAATTATAAATAAAAAATAAATAAATAAATCAAAGCTAGAAACACCAATTACAATTGAAGCCGTAGATACTTGAAGTGAGCATTGGATATTAAACTCTGTGGATTGAGTAGTAAATGATTGTCCTGAGGGACGGTAACTGAAACTTTGTTTTTGTCAGACGGACATAGATGACATGGGTTAAATGGCATAGAGTGATTGGTCGGTTGTGTCTTACCACTGCTCTGTCTTGCCTTCTTCGGGTAGAATCAACAAATCGATGGTGTAAGTCGGCAATCACATAACTCGTAGGCGGTGTCTGAAAATCTCCGCCTCTATGTTATTATTTTGAAGGAGAACAAATTGACATCATTGCTTGAAGTTTCTGCAGAATTTTCTTCGCACAGAGAAGAAAAATCACAGCAGTTTTAAAGAATTGCCATTGAGTAGTTTTCGGTTTAGAAAATAAAGTATGACGGGAAGTCTGGGAAGTCCCAAACCCATCAACCTCCTGAGATCGTTGAGCATTTGATACAAACGTTAGGCTTTTGAATGTAAACAAACAAGCTATCGGGTAATTCTGATGGAGTCCAACAAAGCAAACTGTTTGGAATCAGAGAATTCTGTTTGCAGACAGTCCCAAACAGTTTACTTTGAAAACACAGCTACAATTTCGAGATCAGTCTGCTAATGGGTTAAGCAGACTTGAAGAAGAACCCATCCAACATAGGAGGTTGATTTTCTTTCACCGGAAATCATTTAAATCCTGAAAAGACTATGATGGGCAACCAAGTAAAGATACATACCAGATAAATTCAGGTTTCACAATGTTAGTCTAGGACAATAATTATGGGTACTTTTAGATTCCCATAGAGGAACTGCAACTTTGAAATATACTGAATTCTGTCCTCCGCATGGTAATATAATGCCGCTAAGATAGTGAAAATCAATAAACTTAGAAAGAAAGAATACAATTTGATTGCCAGGCCAGGCCAGGCAGACTTAAAATTAGCACATAACCTAACTTTTTGTTTATGTTTGACGGTGAAAGACGGGGATCGATGAGCTTCAGGATTTCGCGCCCGCGCGCGATTGGATTTTTACGGGTCATTTAAAAAGGAGCGGGAAATTTTGAATTGACGGGCCGACCAAATGTTGCGCGCTCGCTGTGCAGCAGCTTAAAACGCATGTCAATGTACATTTATGATTCTTTACAAAAGTTGAACACATAATTCGGTTTCTTCTTCGATTGAAAAGACTATTGGTACCTATTCCTGTGATGTGGAAAACACCCTGATCCCTGACTACCACAGTGTGCATGTACAGAGTGTCCATAAAGCCCCCTCCCCCCCCCCCCCCCCCCCCCTCATCGCACTGTTTACCATAATTTGAGGTAAAGATTTGAAATTGTCAATATAATAGGGCTATTCCTCGGTCAAGGGGGGGCAAGTTCAATAGAACGTCCGCGCTCACCGACCAAATTGGACATATTTCTGCCAAACGGAACTAAGTGCATTATGACGTGAATCCTGTTATGCATATGTTCAAAATGCGTCCGAATAGATTCATGAATTCAAAAATTTCTCGGGGGATGCCCCTCGGATCCCCCTTCCCCGGTGTTTGGGGCCCGGGCGTTAAAACTGGTACCAGGGCCGACATGGCATGTGGCGGGCTTGTTAATACATACACATTTTTGGGCAAAATGAGAGACGACAGTTCTCCATTTCCGACGTTGCAGACTTCCTTAGAAATTTTATTTTTCTTTCGAGAAACTGGTCAACATAAAACTTAAATTCTCCATGATTTTTCGTATTCGATAGCAGAGGATTCGGTTCAAAATTTAAAGTCGTAAAGGAGGGGTATCGTTAAGGGCCTTTTTTGGGCCCACCCTGAAATTCCTCAACTCCGCGATTTTTTGGTCATTGAAGGTCTATATTTTACGGAATGCATAATGGTTTGGTCATTTTCGATCTATTTCGGGGTCTATCACTGGCCTAAACATGGGTCTGAAGGCCAATTTTGGCAAAAAATGCGGGTTTTTCGGCATTCAAAGCGCTTTTTCATACCGATCCCTTCGGAGGACAAAAAATTCCTTCAAGTATGTTCATTAGGGATGTAAGAGAGTCACTTTGGCCAATTTTCGTTGATGTCAAACTATGCGCTCATTGTAAAGAAAAACTTTTTAGAATGTTCCTGTTTTTCATCGTTATTTAAAATGGCTTAAAAAAGCGACTCATCTTACGCCAGAGTTTAATTTTTTTGACAATAAATGGACGTCGGTGGTCGAAACCTTCCTCAAAAAACTTTTTTGGATTCAAAGCCCCCCAAAAAAGCCGATGTTGCCATATTTCATTGCTTGAATTCACGGAAAACCTCGTATTTCAGAATTCGGAGGCTGTTCCTCGTCAAGAACATTCCGCAAGAAGAACCTTTATTTCTCACACGCAGTGGCCACATTAGTAAGGATTTTACGCATGTTTCATATATTTATGTATTTATCTCCCGCTAAGGCTAGCGTTGCCACATGTTATTCGGGAAAATCTAGAAAAATTCGCGTTTAGGTGGTTTTGCGCCATTTTTTTCGGATCATGCCAGTGGTAGACCCCGAGATAGATCGAAAATGACCAAACCATTATGCATTTTGGAAAATATAGACCTTCAATGACCAAAAAATCGCGGAGTTGAGGAATTTCAGGTAGGGCCCAAAAAAGGCCCTTAACGATACTCCTCCTTTCAATCTAAGTTAATTTATTTGATTATTTGCCTAGGCATTTGACAAAATGCCTGATTTTACTATTTGCCTGAGATATATACTTTGTGACCCTGACGATGAAGCGCTCGCCCTTCGAAAAACCTCGGTCAAAGTTTATGTAAGTGTTTTTTTTTATAAAATTGTAATTGTATTATCTCTAGCACTTGGCTACACCCTACATGCCAATATATTCAGTGCTACTACCTTTTAGACATTGTGTTATATAATATACGCTGAACTTGATTTCCTATTTCAACACATGTAATTCAGCGGATTAAATCATTTTTTCGTATCTCAGTAATTAGGTAATCAATCTATGAACCAAAAGTATCCTCGTGCTCAGTTCTCTCGGTAGTTTCTACTTAAATACAAAATATTTATCAAAGTTCAGACTCCTGCAAGGAATTCTCATCGGAATATCCGAACTAAATTTTGGTCTTATTTTAATTCTTAGTTATAGCAATAGAGTTAATACTTTGTAGTTCTCTATATTTTGAATAAAGAAAAAAAAATTAATTTCAATTCAACCACTAGATTCCTGATAAACGAGAAGATCGGTTGCCCGATCCTAGGAATGCCTGATGGCGCTCACCACAGATTTGGAATTTTTGCCCTATTTTTGGGTTGAGTTTTAAGTTGAGTTTTAGTTCAAGCTGAACCAATTATGATGATTTAAAATTAAAAGTATAATAAGATTGGAACTTCCGATGGAAATTTTTTAATACGATCGATAGAAATAAAATTGTGTCGAACTTTATGAAAATCCGCCTATTTTTAGCCGGTGTTCATCCGAATCTTCCATGGCAAATTCTGCCGTGCAAAGGAGAGACACCGTATGAACTTTCAGGCGTTGCCAAATTTTCATTTATAAAACACGAATTTTCTGGTAAACTTATATATTTTTCTCCCAATTTTTCAGATTATGTTGTTTGCAATTTCACCTAAAGTTTCCTGCTTTTCTGCTTTTCTACTCCTGCGTTAAAGTCTTCTTGTGATAGACTCGGAACGGTGCAGTGTAACACAATGGTTACAAACCATAGATCCTATACTGCTAGCGATGCAATGCGTGCCATGGAAAAACGCCGTATGAACCCTCAGGCGATCCCATATTTCCTTTGATAAAACACGAATTTCCTAGTAAATGTATGAATATTTTTCTCCCAATTTTTCAGATTATGTTGTTAGCAATTTCACCTAAAACTCCTGAAAATTTCAAGAAAAAATGTTCATAACTTTTCTCAAAAATGAAAATTTTACTGAAGGAAATTTGGCAAGTTTCGAATGCTCATACGGCGTTCTTCCTTAGCACGACAGAATTACTAGGAGACTTTAACGATTGAGAAGGAAAGCAAAACGTGCGTTGATGTAAGACAAAGAATTAGTGAGCAAGAGATTGCATACTTTCCAGGCTGTCTTTAAAAAACACGCATTACGATTGCTTCCGAGCCACGCAGTGGCGTGGCGTGAATTGCGATGTATCGATTGTTTTGCAATTTAAACGTATGGTAAAGAATCGATTTTTAAGGTGTTCGTAGCGAACACCCTGTTCATCGATCATTTTCCAAAGGTTTAAATGGCATAACAATCGATTTATCGCAAAGCACGCCACGCCACTGGAGCCACCCTAAAAAAAGAGTAATCTCCGGGTTTTCCGGACCTGTAGACACCCTGATCTAGGGAGAGCAGGCCCAGCTGTAGAATACCTCTCATCGATAGCCAGAAAAATCAATCGGCAGAAAACATGTTTGAAGTCAACACTCAAATCCCGCCAGTCCGAACTCTGTATTGCGAAAGAACGTCCTATGAGCCCTAGGACGTTGCTAAAATTTGTGAGATAAAACGGGAATTTCGTGCGGAATTTGTGCCCCCCCCAAAATTTGTTTATGAATTTTAATCGCGATTTCATCAAAACTATCTAAATATTTCAAGGAAAAATATTCATACCATACCTCACCAAGACATAATATGAATATTATCGTGATACGCACCGCTTTTGTTTGTGGAACTACGCAATTCACTTGGATGACATTTAGCAAAAAGGAACCAGCGCGATTACAGTGTTTTCAAGATCGTGCACCTTCTTCTGTACGTTTAAAATTCCTTATAATCTATGTACAGTGTTAGAACTTACCTTCAGTATTTTCCTTCAAAACTAACAATTGTTTCGTGAGAAGCCAGAACTATTAATTGTTATTCTGGGAGATTTCTTTGATAATTATGAAGAAGCAATCTTTTTACAACACTGTAGTTGCGATGGTTCCTCTTTCCAAAATTCGACCCACTTAGAGACTTTCTCTGGACTTTGCCACCCGCCCCCCCTCTCTCTCTTTTTAGTTCAGTATTTTTTTGCTTTTTCACTGTAACGGATGTGTTTCCGAAATAATTTATTTCCGTGTTCTTTTTCCTGTTTACGATCCCCCCCTCTCCCATTGTTTTGCAGCCCGGAGGTTTCTTGACCGGACCGCCAAAGAAACAAAACAGGGGATTTCCATGTCCTGATTACAGTAACGCGTAAGGTCCATCATCCATCTCAGTGAAACAAAGGACCCCGCCTGGCCGCATCCGAAAGTGATGGAATGCACCCCTTCCTGAAATCCCGCAAAGCTCGGATTTTCCGCCATTGGAAAACAAGGAAGAAGTTTCTGGAATACATCCTAATTGCGAGAGGGGTCAGCCAGGGGGGGGGATGTGGCTTCAGGCCAGCAGTTTACGAGATTATAAAAGGACAAACCCAACCCTAAATTTCAGTCAGTTTGGTTTCAGCAAGCGAAGTAATTTCGTGGGTGAGCAAGTCAGTGGGTCAGTCAGTCGGTCAGTCGGTAGTGTTGTGTGGTGTTGTGTTGTGTTGTAGTGGTCGTTTACACTACAGGTTCTAATCCGTGAGTACATTGCGTATAATAGCTTATTCTTAACTTTTACTGCAATAAAATTTATAGTTTAAAATTTATATGCTCTACAATTCAAAAATTTATTTTTTAATTTTTTAATATCAAATTTTTTATATTGTAAATTTTAGATTTCAATTTTTACTTTATAAATTTTAAAAGTTTTGGTTTCCAATTTTATTTTTATCTGAATGCTACATATCATTTTTCCAATTTATTCATACTCAATAGGTCAATAATACATACTTTTCTGAATTGACGAGAGATGCGGTTATATAATTTTCAGCATTTTAATCACAAGGAAAATTGATTGACTGCGTTTTTATTACTCTCTCGAATAAGACACTAGTTTTGCTCTCTGTGTTTTACTTTCATTTATTTTTTTATC